CACTGTTGCTACAGTTTCTATACCTAATTTTGATGTCTTCGATGATAACTTGGCTTATGTAACCTCATATGAAGATCCATGATGCAAGGTTTGATGCTGTCTTACCCATAGCTGTCTGTGTCTGTTAGGAAGTTGAGATACAAACTGGTCTGTGCTGACATGGTTGTGTCCATGGGCAAGACACTTTACCCTGATTGTTCTGGATGGCATTCGGCACGTCATGCATATATTGTTCAGTGAGGTTGCCACCAGCTGACCTTTGGAGGGTCTGCCTCATTGGCACTGAATGAGGGATAAACCCTACAAAACAAAGTTGATGTCTTAAGTTCAGATATCAAGGTGTCTTACTACATGAATAATTGAAAAGTAGTTTCTGCACTATAATTTGAGTTCCCTTTTGCAAATCTAGTTTAAACCAATGATGTGTTCTCTCTGAAATCGTTTGCTTGCAGTTACTGTTCAGATGTGATGGTCATTGGTCAGATTTCTGTTATTATGAATAGAAAACTTTCTACACAATATAATTTGTTGCCTTTGCCTAATAAATCTCAAGCCAAAAAAAATATTTTTAGAATTGATTTGGGTGCCACATGCATTTTGATAAAATAATTGTGATAAATTACCATTGGAAGAGAGTTCATATAAAAAGGATAAACTATTTTAACTATGCTCCTGCCATGTTAAGATGTAGATGAGGGGAAGCATCCAATATAGAATCATTGTCATATTTACCCAATAGTATCATAACATCAGGTTCATCCTATCATATTAAGGTGATCATAGGTCAAGGTTAAAGTGTCAAAGGTCAAATTATGATTTGGCATGAGAGCATTCATTTTAAGACATTTTCTAGTTTATTAAAAGAATACTTGAATTCCTGAAAGATGTGATGCATTTTATGTATTGAGAGTTTTTATATTGGTTTTACAAAAGATCATAGAATTCATGAATAAGGGTCACCACATCAATTGATGAAAATGTTGATCTCTGAGAAAATAAAGCATAAGAACAGATATGTATGTACTTATTCCAGACACACAGCTCAGCAGTGTCCACAACGGTAGGAATCCAGTTTTTCAGTGTGTGCCTAACTTCTGCCCTTATTTGTTTATAATGTTTTGCACTTGATGAAGTTTTCAGGAAAAAAAATGTATTTCTTCCAACTTTTAAAACAAAACAAAAAAACCTGACTAATTATGCCTGTAATGTTCACCTCAAACTCTTCACAGTGATTTTTCAGAATTACACATCACGATATAATAAAGATATCCCTCAGAGTTCACCTGAAGTGTCACTATTTTCTGAACCTTTGCAGTTGAAATTTTCTGAGAACTTACTTTCAGTTTTCAAATGTTGATTTTTTCCTTGGTGTTCTTGTTCAGTTGTTAAACCCAAAGTCTCAATTGAACAACTTTTAGTTTCTAAATATTGCAAACATTTTTTTACTAGAATTGGCTTGCCAGAAAACAAAATAATATTCTGAAAAGCTGGTCATGTGCTTTCATAAGGGAAGATAACCCACATTGTCACAACTACTCTTTTTTTTTATTTCACAAAACATTGCCAACTCCTATTAAAAGTTTCTGTCAGATTCCAGACAGCTTCACACATTACATTTATAATAATGATATTTATGAGTTTAACATCAAAATTAGATCCATGGATCCTTGTTGTATATGTTTTCTGTAAATTCATACTTTTTAGGTCGCCTAAGCCAAAGGCTCATGGTGACCTATTGCCATCACGATTTGTCTGTCGTCGTGCGTCATGCGTCGTTAACTTTTCACATATTTGACTTCTTCTCAAGAACCACTGAATAGATTTTGACCAAACTTGGCACAAAGCATCCCCATGGGAAGCCACTTTAAGTTTGCGAAGAAAAAGGGTGTGGCCCCAATAGGGACCTCAGGAGGGGGAAAAAGGGGGTAAAATTAGGTAAATCTTTAAAAATCTTCTTCTCATGAACCAACAGTCAGATTAAGTTCATATTTGATATTTAGGGTCCTTACTGCATGGTCTACAAAGTTTGCGAATGAAAAAAAAATTGGGTCAAAAACGGCCCCACTGGGGGCACTCAAATGGGTCAAAAAATCAACTTTGACCAATTTCAACCAAATTTGGTGGAAAGCATCCCTTAGTGAAGGACATATGTTATTATGTTGAAAAAAGTGATTATGTCCCCTTTGGGGCCCATAAGGGGTGATATGCTTTTCCCTTGCCCTTTTGGAGTAAATAGCTGATTGGCCAATAAGAATATGATACTTTCTTTATCCAATGAATGAAGCAGTCTCATTGCTTCAGAAGGTTAAAAGGTCATTATTGATAGCTAAATGTTGTCTGAACTTGGTGAAATGAAACAATGGTAACCTCATGAAACTTAATTAGTATAGCAAATTAGCATGGTATATAATCAAATTTTTATTTATCAATTTTGCAGACTATAGAATTGGATTAGGATAAAGCAACTGATATAAGAATAGTAGAGAGTAATTTGATATAATGTAGGTTTGGTGCTAATATACTAAATGTTCATTTAATATGTTATATGTTGTAACTTTTCAAAAAACAAAAATCGATTTCATTTACAATTTAACTATAATTATTGAAGAACATTCCACCTGATGTTACAAGCACAACGAATATGGCTGTTTCACTTTTGTATTGCAGGCATTATAATCAGTGTTCAAATAATTTTTCATTCGAATTATAAAATATTAAGCGAGGAAACTTTAAATAGATTGGCTAGAATCACAATTGTCTTCAACCTTCTGTCTGAAGATAGAGCAGATTGATGTATTGATCCCATTACAGTGTTGCGGGGTTTCCTTTCATACCCAACATCAGTTTTTTGCAATCTCTAGAGGGTGAAGGAGTTTCAATGTCTATTGAAATAGGCAGAATTGAGGAGCAGATTCACTCAACGTAGCATGCAATGGATGTTTATATAGACCATTCGATCAATTAACATTGTACACATTCTCTCGTAACTCTCGCAAACTGTAGTGAAAAATGACAGAAAGGAAGTAATTTTATTGTAAATTTAGTTATATAACTGGAGCAACTGCGTTACTTCAGAATTCACCATCTGTTAGGGAAAAAGTAGGAAATTACAATCCTGGAGATATTACTCTGTATTAAATGAATATAGGAAACTTGTATTCTCCAGAGTCTCAAATGCAAATTCATTTCATCATCTTTCTTCCGCCCAGGCAACATGTAGTAGAATCTCTTGCTAGGTATCAATGCTTAATTGAACTTGTGACTTTTGAAAGAAGCCATGGGATTATATATATTCAACAAGACAACATGACAGAGAAATGATACCTTAGACAGAAATGTACGCTATGCTGTAACTGTCAAGGGGACTTTGTACTTTTGCTGAAGATCATTACTAGCTACAGCCATGACTGGGAAGTGCTCATTTCAGGGCTATACCAATGATTTAATTGACTAGGAGCAGTGAAACAGAAATTTTAAGTCAGGAGTCATTATTGTTCAGACAATCACTTTACAGAAGTGTGTTGTAATGCTGTGCCATTCTAAAGTCATTCCAACAGCTCATTATTGACAATCAGAGGTTGCTGGAGAAAAAAACATTGTCAAGGTATTTTCGATTATTGGTGTGTATGTACATTACATATGCTTTCGTTTGGATTCCACATGGATGTTTACAGATAGGAGGATGATGATTATGTCAAAAATCATAATTGTCAACAGAACTTATTAATTGTATTTATCAACAAGGCTTTGCCTCTACAGTAAGTGTTGTTCAATATGAACTTCTTGACCTCTCCTCTTCTCTGCTATTTGGATGTCTCAGGTGGATTATTGAAAGAAATGATGTTATACTGATTTGGTGAAAATTGATTTAATGCGAGATTGTTGGAGAGCTTGACCTTTTTATTTATTTTACATTGATTTTTCTTTCTGGAAGGTTTATATTTGTTTTGTAAATACAATCAGGGAGTCAGGGATTGTTTGGTGAACTCAGTGTAAGACATCAATTTGAGATGGTTTTAACTGTAAATTTGGTATTATATTTGTATCAGACTAAATTGATTGATACCAAACTAATAACAAAAAAGATTTTTGTAGGTAAAATGTTCTCTACCTATAGGTTTCATTTATATAATGCTTCTTGGAAATAATATGTGAACATTTGCTATATTTCTCATAGAGATAATCAGGAAAGATGCCATGCTTTAAAGTTTGGTGAAAGATAATACTGATCAAGAAAATACTTCAAAATCAGATCGCTTTTACTGTACAAAAGTTTTGCTGGAAATATGTTGATAGTGATTTCAGGAACCAATCAGAATAAAAATTAGGTCTCAATATTTAAAGATTACAGGTCAGCTATTATTGATTGTGATATGGTTCCGAAAGTGACGAGGTTTATAGAATTACCTGTGCATTATATAAACCTGATTGACTGCCTGGTATATATACATCTGTACTTACTACATGCTACATGTACCTGTAACTCAATGGATGGCAAAATGACTTACCAGCGTGTACTGATTCTACATGAGAGTCGGGGAATGTATGGATGATTTTCGTATTTTGTATATATGGGAATTGGTGGTGACAAACTGTGTTTAAATCTGATTTACACTTATATCAATTAGTATATTGTGATGGTAGGTTAGAAATATGATGGATAGTAAGAGACAGAACATAACTTCTGTAAAATGATCACCATTACATTATGTCATCAGCTATGAAGAAGTGAAACTTATGTTGAAATTTATGCTAATTTCATTTTTTTTTTTTTTTTTTCTATCAAGACATGTTATTAAATTCATCATTTCAATTCAAGGTAAGTTAAAAATTCATAGTTGAGAATCTCATCACAAGACAGAGAGATTTAGATATAAGAATATGTGACATACCTGTGTATGTGTATCTTGTGTAGGTGGATGTGATCGTCACTAGCTCTGTAAATTTTCATTGAAGTGATTACTACCATTTATCATGGCTATGTCTGCTGTCATTTTCAGAAAAATTCAGGAACTACAAACAGACTTGTCCAATTCTACTCAAAAATGGGGAAGAATTAACGATGAACTGACACAACTTCAATCGGATAGGGAAAGGGAAAAAGAAAATTTAATTAGTAAACATGAAGAAAATATTAACACATTTAGGAGTCAAATTGAAGACATGGTAAGTGTAAATATATGTATGGTCTGTGTTTTTTAATTTTACAAAATAGATTTTTCTGGTGTTATTTCATTTAAATTTTATTTTCTGCTTCTCAAATACAGTAATTAAATTGAAAAGTAGAAACAGCTTGAACCTTTGTTTTCTTCTGTTATAAATTATACATTTTCAAATTTACATTATTTTGTTATTGAAATAAATAATCATCAGTTCAAGCAGACCTAGAAATCAAATTCATTATCGTTAAAATTTTGAAGACAGCTGTGATTAACAATTGTGAATTAAGTTAAAAAGCTTGTCCTTGATGTTAATTGTAAATGTTCTTGTCATTTTGAGTTTAGAAACTAGTGTTCAAAATTTTGGCTAGTATGACATGTGTGTTGTGCAGTTGAAAGAGTGACATTTGTCAGAAAATGAATAGCAGATTCAAATAATGTGATTTGAAATTTTGATGTTGATATTTTCTAAACATTGTAATGAAATGTATGTATTTTTCTGTTATATAATTGGTCCCTCTCAGCTTTGTGGTCTATGCAAATGAAAAATATATAAATTTGGAATGATATTGGGCAGTCGCTATTGTAACTGACATAGTAAGAAAATAGTGATTTTAGTATTCCTCACAGTCAACTAGAATATAAAACAACTACTGAATTTGTATTTCTCAGCAAAGAGCCTTGGATAAAGCCAACAATAAAATGAAAACAAAGTCAGAAGATTTTGAAAAAGAAAAAGAAGAAGCCATTAAACGCAAACAAGGGGAAATCAACAGCCTTAAAAAACAGATTGAACAAATCAGGGAGGAACTTGACAAACAAGAAGTCCAGACACAAGCACACAAACGGGTGTTAGACACCATTACCATAGAGAAAGAGGCTCTACAGGTAGGTCAAAGGTCAAACACTGTCAGACATCATTACTATAAGGGTGAAGGCTTAACAGGTAGGTCAAAGGTGAATTATGAAGTCTGTCATCAATATTATAAAGATGGAAGCTCTTCAGGTATGTCAAAGGTCATATACTGTGTTAGACACCATTTGGGAATGAGTCTCTACAGATAGGTTCTTTCAGACACCATTACCATAGGGATGAAGGCTTTACAGGTAAGCCAAAGGTGAATTAATTACTGTTTCTGATCATCTCTATAGAGGTGGATGCTTTGCTAGTAATTAACCTTATTAAATATGGCATAATGTAAATTGATGTTAGATTGAAATAATGTTTTTGATAATGAATGGTTTAATTCAGTTCATAGTGATTCAGTTTTAAATAGAAAGATGCTGCATGGTTCACTTTATTTCTGAAATTATAATTAGAAAAATTCTCAATTAAAAAAAAAATAGAATGCTTCCTCTCATCCTGTTTTGGAAACCTTGGGAGGTTTGATTTGACAGATTCTGATGCAGAGGTGGTCAAATGGTTGTATGTATTTATTATGCTTGTATATCTCTAGTTTGAGAAGGAGAAGGCCGAGAAACATGTGAAGCGTCTGGAAGGGGAGAAAGAGACGTTGAACGGCAACCTTATCCATGCTCGTGTAGAGGTCACTAAAACACAGTCAGCTAATGAAAAACTTGGAGCAGAACAAACCAACCTAATGGAGCAGATCTCGGACCTCAAATCTGAGATCGATAAATCTAACAAGTCGAAAAAGGAGGTATGTGTTTGTCAGAGACATGAAACATTCACAACATTTTTTCAAATATATTATTTATATATAAAACATCTTTTGTTTCCTGACAATTTTGGATGATAGTGTTATTCAGGGTTTATATTGTTTCCTTGTTATTAACCAGTTGCAAAAACAGAAAGATGATGCTCAATCAGAGAAAGACGCTGCTATTATTGAAAGGGAGACTCTACAAAGGGAGGTAATAGAGGGCAAGGTCACACTACAACAAAAAGATATGCAGATTGAGGAACAACAGAAGAAATCAGATGAACTTCAGAGAGAGGTACTAATTTAATATGACGTCAGGTACTCTTCTCCCACACTCCTCAGTTGCGTTCCCTTGAATCATTAAGAAAATTTAAAACTGGCTTCTCTTAAGAAAAGATACATCAAACATGCTTTGATGTGGCCACATATAATGACAGCCAGATGTTAAAAATTCATGACAATAAATTCCATTTTTCTTACTATAGAATAGTTAAAAAGTATTACTCAGGTGACCAAGAATCTTTCTGTAATATAGACAGTTATCTCAGCCCTTAGGATAAGAAGATTCCGCCGTGCGCCGTCCGTAAACTTTTCATTCAAACGACTTCTTCTCAAATACTAGAAGGTCGAGGGGGCTAATACTTGGCACAGAGGATACTGGCATGGAGCTCTACCAAGTTTGTTCAAATGAATGACCTTGACCCACTTTAAAGGTCACAGGGGTCAAATATGTTAAAATCTTTAAACAACTTCTTCTCATTAACCAAAAGGCTCAGAGTGTAGATATTGGGCCTGTGACATGCTGGGATGAAGGACTACCAAGTTTGTTCAAATGAATGACCTTGACCCACTTTAAAGGTCACAGGGGTCAAATATGTTAAAATCTTTAAACAACTTCTTCTCAATAACCAAAAGGCTCAGATTGCTGATATTGTGCCTGTGGCATGCTGGGATGAAGGGCTATCAAGTTTGTTTAAATGAATGACCTTGAACAACTTTCAAGGTCACAGGGGTCAAATATGTCAAAATCTTTAAATAACTTCTTCTCAAATACTAGAAGGCCTAGGGGGCTAATACTTGGCCCATAGCATGCTGGCATGGAGCCCTACAAAGTTTGTTCAAATGAATGACCTTGGCCCACTTTCAAGGTCACAGGGGTCAAATATGTTAAAATATACAAAGGACTTCATCTCAATAAGCAAAAGTCTATGAGTGCCGATATTGGGTCTGTAGCATGCTGGGAGGAAAGGCTACCAAGTTTATTCAAATGAATGACCTCAACCCACTTTCAAGGCAAATATGTTAAAATATACAAACGACTTCTTCTCAACAACATGAGTGCTTATGCTTGGAGGAGAGGCTACCAAGTTTGTTCAAATGAATGACCTCAACCCACTTTCTAGCTTTTTGTCAGATGAATGGGCCTCTTGTTGAAGTTAAGTACTGGGCAAAAAGTCTGTTACTAAAGTTCAAAAATATTACCAATGGGTTGAGATATCTGTGTCAACATTACAGAGGTTGGTGATTTGTTAATCGTAACAAAGACACATTGAAGCGTAACACAATTATGTAGTCTACAGTTTGATGAAGGTATGGTTCTAGATACCTCAAGTCTTGTTAACTTATCCTTATATTGTTACTTGATTCTGTCTTTTCTGTTGGTCTCTTTCGTCTTTAAGTTTATAATATTTGTTAAATACTGTACATGTTCCATTTCCTTACCTATGATACTTTGTTAAATTACATGGAGGCCTAACATTGCATTACATTTGTAAGTTGTATTACATTGAAGATTGTATTACATTGTAAATTGTATTACATTGTAGATTGTATTACATTGTAAATTGTATTACATTGAAGATTGTATTACATTGTAAATTGTATTACATTGAAGATTGTATTACATTGTAAATTGTATTACATTGTATTGATTGTAAATTGTACATTGAAGATTGTATTACATTGTAAATTGTATTACATTGTAGTAAATTGTATTACATTGTAGATTGTATTACATTGTAAATTGTACATTTAGATTGTATTACATTGTAAATTGTATTACATTGTAGATTGTATTACATTGTAAATTGTATTACATTGTAGATTGTATTACATTGTAGATTGTATTACATTGTAGATTGTATTACATTGTAATTGTATTACATTGTAAATTGTATTACATTGTAGATTGTATTATGTAAATTGTATTACATTGTAGATTGTATTACATTGTAAATTGTATTACATTGTAAATTGTATTACATTGTAAATTGTATTACATTGTAAGATTGTATTACATTGTAAATTGTATTACATTGAAGATTGTATTACATTGTAGATTGTATTACATTGTAGATTGTATTACATTGTAAACTGTATTACATTGTAGATTGTATTACATTGTAAACTGTATTACATTGTAGATTGACAAACTAAGAATGGAGACAAGCCAACATGAAGAGAGGATATCACAGTTATCAGAGCAGGAAATGACCTCAGGGGCATTACAGGAACAGCTGTAAGTTATATCAGTACTGTAGAACAGGATATCAAATTGTAAAAAAAAAGGGTATAGGTTAGAGAAATCTGGTGTAAGACAAGGGTGTAGGGTAGAGATACCCAATGGAAAAAAAGAGTTTGTAGGGAAGAGATATCTGGTGTAAGACAGGGGTGTTTGGTAGAGATATCTGGTGTAAGACAGGGGTGTTTGGTAGAGATATCTGGTGTAAGACAGGGGTGTTCGGTAGAGATATCTGGTGTAAGACAGGGGTATATGGTAGACAGGGGTATATGGTAGAGGGTGTTTGGTAGAGATATCTGGTGTAAGACATGGGTATATGTTAGAGATATCTGGTGTAAGACATAGAGATATCTGGTGTAAGACAGGTAGGTGTGTTGGTAGAGATATCTGGTGTAAGACAGGGGTGTTTGGTAGAGATATCTGGTGTAAGACAGGGGTGTTTGGTAGAGATATCTGGTGTAAGACAGGGGTGTTTGGTAGAGATATCTGGTGTAAGACAGGGGTGTATGGTAGAGATATCTGGTGTAAGACAGGGGTGTTTGGTAGAGATATCTGGTGTAAGACAGGGGTGTTTGGTAGAGATATCTGGTGTAAGACAGGGGTGTTTGGTAGAGATATCTGGTGTAAGACAGGGGTGTTTGGTAGAGATATCTGGTGTATATGGTAGAGATATCTGGTGTAAGACAGGGGTGTATGGTAGAGATATCTGGTGTAAGACAGGGGTGTTTGGTAGAGATATCTGGTGGTGTAAGATATCAGGTGTAAGACAGGGGTATATGGTAGAGATATCTGGTGTAAGACAGGGGTATATGGTAGAGATATCTGGTGTAAGACAGGGGTATATGGTAGAGATATCTGGTGTAAGACAGGGGTGTTTGGTAGAGATATCTGGTGTAAGACAGGGGTGTTTGGTAGAGATATCTGGTGTAAGACAGGGGTGTTTGGTAGAGATATCTGGTGTAAGACTGGTGTAAGACAGGGGTATATGGTAGAGATATCTGGTGTAAGACAGGGGTGTTTGGTAGAGATATCTGGTGTAAGACAGGGGTATATGGTAGAGATATCTGGTGTAAGACAGGATTATAGATTATGGATATTCAATGTAAGACAGGATTGTCTCTCTAACATCTGATACTATGACATCTAAATTACAGTAATCTTACGTTTGGGCATTTGTTTCTTAGAATTAATTGCTTGATTATGATATGGATAAATAATTGTTTCAATGTTGTTTTTGGTTATTAATGTTTTATTACCAAGATGAGATATATAGTGGTAATGTTGTTGTTGACAGAGAAGAAAATAAGACAAAGGTAGCCCAGCTCCAGACAAAACTAAAGGACATGGAGGCAGAGAGAGACTCTATGAAGGCACAACTGGAGTTTGCCAACCTGGTCACCGAAGAACGCAAACGGGTACAGTACTTATATACTTATATACTTATATATTCACTGTATTTGAATATAAGACTAGAAAAGCTTGTGCTGTTTCTGTACTAATTAGTTGGGTAGTAATTTTACAGGTACCTGTATATAATGACATGCATTATTGAATGATATACCTTTCTTTTAATTCAGGACAGCATATCATCACCAAGTTTATTTTAGTTTTCACAATAAATAAAACATAATGAAGATTAAAAAATCATCTTTGAAAGAGATATTAAACTTGATACCTTCGTTTTGTAAAATGATCCAGTATACAGTTTGTTCCTGCCGGTTTTGTACAGGTTTTGTTCCTGTATATACATGCTAAGAACGTACACGTTCATCAAATAAGGATGCTTTATTTTATTTTCCACAGCTTGAAGATCAGAACGTCCAACTAACTAAGGATATGGAGACACTTCAGACGCGGTATGTATTCTGGTGTTTTATCAAGCTGACTATCCCTGTATGTTTTCCATAGATGTGCTAGTCACTGACAGAGCACCTCCCAGGATTAAATCAAAGATCTCTCATCATTTGTTATTTTAAACCTGTCTTAATAGATTCTGACCGTCAGTTTTTTTTATTATCCCAGTTTGTTAAACAGTTGGAAATCCCTTAAAGTTCACAGATATTGTCAATCTATTTACTTTTATTGTACAGTTATTGAAATTGTTACATTGTAAAAAAGAAAGTCAAAAACTTCTTAACTGACAGAATGAAATTGAAAGAATGAATCATTTAAATTTTCTTGCAAAATTTTTATACATCATTTGAGTTAATGCAGCAGAATATTTTAATTCAAACAATGAGTGATTATTATTTTTTCTTACACATCTCATCTTTTGTGTTTATAAATTATTTGAAGTTCGTACAGCTTGCATGGTTTGGCTTATACAAAATATTTATACTTTCATAATAGACAATACATGCTGGATTTTACATAAGTTTCCATTTCATGTAAACATTTGTGAAACACATTCATGGATTCTGTTGATGTCACTGAGCTTCTGATAAGCTCAAATGAAAAAAATTATGAGGAATTTTTATAAAATTTCTGATATGAACTGGAAACTTTTTTATCACAATTTTCAGAAATATTTTTTCATGTTGTAAGTCTAAAGTCTGCCATTTCATCTTTCAATATCTAATGTCTCCATTGTTAAGCCATAATCTTTTCATGCCATTGTATAACATCGTATTGCATGAGTTTATATCAAATTATACAACAGATATCATATGCATTAAGCATTGAGAACATGTGCTGAAGCTATCAGTGGAAAGATAGGTCTGTAAAGGTAGATAACTCTTCATGACTTGTTTGATCCTTATCCTGATAATGGTATCATTTATTTTATGTTGATTTTCTAGTATTGGAAAAATCAGTAAATCTTAGCAAACAATTTTTGAGTGAATTTTTAGTAATTCTACCATTGTTGATAAGGAGTTATATGTTTAGTGCTTATAACCTTGTGTAATATTTATGGCCTTGACCTATATATTTTGTTGTTGTAAGTAGTTATGTAGACATATCTGCTGATGATTGAATAAAAAGACAAGACAAAACAATGTTGTATAGACAACAATTTATTCTGTAAATAGGAAATTCTTCCATGTACATGTATCTCTGAAAACATGAAATATCAGTTTTTTTGTTTGTTTTTTTGGGTTTTTTTTTTTTTTAAGGGCTGTTCCTGTATAACATTCCAGTGTAACAACTACTTGACCAAAGGGAATAAATCACTTCTATCTATGGGCCCGTTTCCTACTTATTACTTTTAGGGAATTATTGAATAAATTCTATGGTGATTCCCAATAAAATACAACCAAGAGTCCTTGGGTGGGATAAATGTTTTACTGAAATAATTCAAACTTTTCACTGTTTAGATACTCTTTAGTGAATTTAGTTTTGAATGTTATGTTATGAATGGTTTACAAGTAGACAATTTTCAGTTATGTTAGTACCCAAACAATCAACAGATATGTAAGAACTTAAAAATCAACAGATATAAGGACATTCTACTTGAACCCATTTGTATAAGTGTCATAATAATATCTTGCTAGACTGAACCCAGTGGGATTTGACACAAAATTCCATCATATGATACTAATTCTTAGTAATAAAGGATGATTTTTATTTGGTTTTAAGATAGCTAGTTTAAATTCATTTCAGTTTTAGAAAGTCATTCTCAAGGTAATGAAAGAGAGAGCGTCTTAATAGTGCATATTCATCTATACTGTCAACGTGTGGCTGTCTCTCTGTGTTGCCAAAGGGATATTCACGTGTGAAATTTCATTTCTTTTCTCTTTGAAGAGATCAAAATTTTTACAATGATGATACATTGTTTACAAATTCATCTTAAAATTTCACATGAGAATCTCTCTTCTTTCTGATGTAGTGTTGGACTGTATGTAATCACCAAAACAGCTTGATTCATAATGTAGAGATGAGTTTTGTTTATGTAATTCTCACTGTCTAAATATATGTACTTGTGACATCAATGTCCACTCACATTTACAATAGAGATGTCGTTGACTGGCAGTTTTAAGACTACAGTGTCATTATATTAAAAATGATGAGGCTTTTCATTGTGAGTCTTAGATAAAGTAAAAGTGTGTCAAATTGATTTTCACAAACATTATGTTAAAATTTACTAAAATTAATTGAATTAAAAGTCTTACAAGGTGGCTCCCAAAGACACACTATAAGACTATGATTTTACAAGTCTGGCAGTCTTGTTGATATCTAAAAAATTATAGGTAGTTTTTGAAACTTGTTTGAATTCATCATCTAATCATGATGATACCAAGACTAACTCTAATTCTGTATGTCTTTAGTTAGTCATAACAAGTATTGTTTTATTATACTCATCATTTGATTACCTGCTTCATGGAAAGTTTTATATGTTTTCTGTTATTTAGATATACATGTAAAATTATATCTTTTATTTCTACTTGTCTGTGGGATGTACCAATGCTGGGGTGGGATTTTCCCCCCATTTACCACAGCGTGGATAACAAATATATATGATTATACTTGTTAATAGGCTATTCTAACAAAGCTCTACAGTTATTTTGTTATATGTCCATGTAACACAGCAATATTTGTCTATCTTTACTGTTCAATAATACATCTGTATACATACACTGGTGCTGGGTTGAACTCTTACCTGATGTTCACTGATATCTCTTAGAGACAAATTTGCTTTAATAAAAGTCTTGTAAAACACCAACTGGTGTGAATTATGTATGACCTATTTGTGCCAATTAGATCATGGCTGTCAAATCTTTATTTAGAGATCTTCATTTAATTTAAATACAAAGGGAGTACTAAAAAAAACAAGGGATTATGCAAAATTTTGTCAGCAAATATTCTGTTTCAAGTTAGACCAATATGATGTAATGCCGTGCTGTCCAGTCCAAGTGGCAAAAATAAGTCTTTATAGTGTTATTTACTGAAAAAATTGTATGGTTCTAAATGAGTGGATTTGAATATCTCAAATATTACTTAGTGAGAAAATTTTGCTGTTCTGATGAAACTTCAAATTTTTTTATCTCTCTTTATCAAACAGATCTACTTTATGGAACTTACCAATCGCATAATAATTTTCTTGATAGAATTAAATTTTTCTAAGGTTATACTTCCCCGCTCTCAATACCACATATCAATTCTGTACCTTGGGTTTTATAAAACTTCTTGACACGTCACTGTTACTCATAGCAGATTGTATACAAACATCAAAAACTGACAGATCACATTAACACTGTTAGACAGAGGTACCTGTACTTTGAAAATGATCACAGAGTCTTCTCTGAGATAAAGCTAGTTGATTTACTCTTTATCTATCTCTTTATTTCAATCAAAGCGTTAATTTTATCATATGATTTCAGGAATCAGTATCAGGTTGTGCTGTGATCAATTTATGTTAGCTACCTAACTTAAAGATTTATTCTCTCTAGCAAAAATCCAAGAGTACAGAATAGATATGTAGTATTATATATGTAGAGGGTGGCCTTTGGATATGGAAGATGCTGTGTGGCTCAAGAGCTTTGTATGGCTGATGTTTCACAGAATTCTCTGTTACACTTACATGTTCAGTGTTAAGTATTTCACTGCATTCATAGCTGTGTTCTATTTGTTTTATCTTCACGGATCATCATCTCTCTCTACTATTGCGGGTAAGACACGATCACATTAAATATTGTATGTTTCTCTGCCTGCATCACTTTCTGTTCATTGTTTTAAGAGAAGAATCATTTTGTTGCATCGATGCTGTAGTCAATTATTTCTTTTCGTTTATTTTTCAGCATGGTTTTTTTTACATTGCTAAATTTTTAGTGTTAGAAAAGACAATTATATATTCAATATCCTCATTTATTTTCCACTTTGTAATGTTCCTTCCTGCAGTATTTTGATGGAAGTAATTATTTTTTCCTTACACAAACTAACTCAGCTAAATTCCTTTACAAATGTTTAGCTGATAACCCTCTCTGCATGGTAATTGATTCCTTTCAGTAGATTTATACTGTGTTATATATTTTTCTGTAAGGAATCTTCATTTTTCTTTTTGTGACAACAAAACCAAAAACAAAACAAAGAATGACTTATTGATGATATTTTAGTCCTATGTTATCTAGGTAATTATTGTAAATATTATACGTTTTGATTAACTTAATATGATCCGTAAATTTTTATTATATATATCAGGATGTATACATGGTGTATAAGTAGATACAACTGAGGTCAAATAAAAACTTATTTTTGTTAGTTTTTTCATATAAATAGAAAAATTTAGATTTTTTTTTTCACTTATGATCTGAAATGATTTAATATTTCACCATTTTTTATGAAGGTTTCAGGATAGTTCTAAAAAAAAATATGTTTTAGGTAATTCCTATAACAGTTATAGTATTAGAACATTTAAATTCTTGACTAGAAGATACTACTGTGTAGCTGCATATATCATAGATGTATTGAAAATATACCACCTTAGGCATTAAGTTTCATTTAATCATCATATTATGTGAATTTATGAATATCTTAAGTTATTTTTAGTTAATTGCATGTTGTGTTGCTGTGGTGTCTTTAATCTACCTTCTAATGAATACACATATAATTTATCACAAAATTTACTTTGATTTTTTTTTTAAATGAATACTTTAATATATATACCATCACAAATATATACACATGTTACAATATTGAATAAACTTGCATACATATACAAAATGCAATATTTGACTTGATAATGTATAAACATATTTGGGCATTTTTTAATTAGACTTAATATGAGATGTTTCATGTTATAAGAAAATCTGTGGCTGCATGGTCAGAGAGTCACATACCATAAACCAATTCCTGATTAGCACCCTGTTGATGTCAAAGATTGAAAATGACCAACAATAACTTTTAAGTATCAACATTCTCCATCTGTTGCCAAGTTCAGCTATGAAAATCCTTAATGGTCCTCTGTTTGTACAAGGGATTTAGGAATTTATGTATCTAGCATTTGTCTGTACTGCCATTACAGGGAATGGTTCTAATTCAAATTTCTAAAATTAAATTTGTTTTTTAAAAAATTTCAGTTGTTTTACAGTATATTTTGATATATGAGTATAATATAGATTTTATAGAATTGATAACAAATTGGTCAAAAATAGCTCATTATAGATATATTGGAGGCAATCATGGTGTTATTGTTTGTACACATCAATGTATCTGTCTATCTACAGGTTTAGTAAAGAGTTGGAAAAACATGACGCTGCAAAAACAAGTCTACAGACCGAGCTTGACAACTCTTCTCAGTTGTTACAACAGAAATGTGAGGAGGTGGACACTTACCAAAAACAGGTTACTCTCAGTATATCTCCTTTCAGCCAACAGTCAAAGAGCCACAAATGGCTAACTGTATTGATTTCATATCTGGTTATAGCCTTACAATTCCAAGGATGGTAGAGTGTTTTAAAGTGTCATAAAGTTAAGGGTTCTAGTCAGTGTCATTATACAAGTAGCAAGTATTCAGATAATATTTTGTGAAAGGTTGAACATAAGTTTATTTCAGTTTAAAAAAAATTGATTTTGATATTTCTGCTTGTGACCAAAATTTGTGAAACACCAGGTAGTTTCGGCATTTCCACAATTAGTGCAGTTCATGATAACAGCCAGTATCGGATGACTTGACAAAATTACGCTAGTTAACAATTCTGCAGGGATGTGACAGTTGTTTATATTGCAACCTTTATAAAATAGAGTTGACATAGTACAGTCCTTTCACTAGAGGTACTGCTGCCATTTAAACATCTCATTCTGCCTCATTCCATTTTACTTAATCCTGTGGTCAATTAAATATTGGACGGTAACAATCCTAAACTATAATGCTGTATATTTTTATTTGTGTTTGTTTTGATGGTACGTGATACTTTGTGGACAGCTTACATGAATGATGTAGTACTACTTACCACTAAGAATTCAGGATAAACTGTGTTACTTCAGATTATTGGCCAAGATTTCTATTCTGCTGTTCTCATCTGATTCACATCATGCTTAATGGTATATAGTACAGGTTGCATTTATTTATGTGTGAATGTTAAAGTCAAGTTTTATTTATCATGATCGCTACGGCTTCTGTGACAAGGCACAATGTAGGGCCAATGTTGATGAGAATTGCAAGTTTAGTTTTCTTGGTTTGAGATATGGAAATGGAAATGTTTTTTGGGTTGAAACAAGTGTAGGTGGAGAGGTGAAATTGTCTCATCTATCCATAACATGCACAGCAATTAAAAACAAATCAATGAAATGCTTATCAGTAAATAACTGTGCATACCTTATCTTTGCTTGAATAGATTGCAAATCTGAAGAATGAGAATTCTTCATTGGAAGTGTACCGGTCATCAGTGTCGTCCCTGGAGGAAGAGAAGTTGGAGTTTAAGAGTGTTATCAAGAGTCTGGAGCAGGCCGTTAAGGATGCCAAGGCAGAGGCTAGAGCTGCAGCTCAAGAGGCAAAGAATGCAGTGGAACAGGCCAATGCCAATAGTGTGGCAGTCACAGGTAGGTTAGATGTTAGTTAATAGGTCAAAAGGTCACTGAGGCACACAGTCCAATGGCAACAGATGTTTCAAGTAGTTTATAGATCAATTGTCAAAGTAAACATTTAAGGGAGGGGTTAGAAGATAGATAAAAGTTGTTTTGGAAAATTTGTTAATTTTGAAACCAAAATATAACGATTATTTTGATATGTGTGGGACCAATAAGTATCAAAGTTACTAATTACTGTTTATCTCTGGGTACAATGCAGGTGATGCTCTGACTACAAAGCTTCAGGAGGAGAAGACAGCCATGGAGGGACAGGTGAGTCACACCTATTTACAATGGTTACACAGATTTCATAACTTTAGGAAGATGGTTCAAGAATTAACTTAAAATTGATAACCAGTTACAGAAGAAACAAATTTCCTGATGTTCAAGAAAGCACCATGGAATCATGTTTTGCTAGACATCACTGTGTTCTTGCTAGAATCAAGTAACTTTCTTTTGTCAATTCTAAGTTTTCCATTGAAAGAGCAATACCAGCACTTGCAAAGACTGACGGGCAAAATATTTTGCTTTAGTGTAAGAAGGTGAGGAAATTAGTGTTGTAGAAAAGATAACTCTTCTTTTGAAAATTTCAAAACCATTCATGTGTTGCAGTATTTATCTTTGTTGAAATTGAAGTGTGAATTTTGAAGGCGCCTGAACCCTTCAGATGAGAGTTAGGTGGTAGGACTTTAAGGGGTGTGAACACAAACGACAAACAAGCTGCTGGGCTTGTTGGTCTATACATTTGTTTATCAGCTGAATTGTGACATTTTGATTTCCCTATAGATGTGTTTAGGAGGCTGGGCCTTTGTTTTGAAAAATAGAATACTTATGATGGGATTAGGGTAGGAAGGTCACAAATCTATTTATAGAGATTTACCAAATGCTGTCATTAAATTTTCTTTTGAGGAAGGATATAACTATCTAGGTATTAATTACCCTTGTAAAACATTTTTCAATATGCCTACTGGCAAGTGTGATTGATGTGAGTACATCTTGTTTAACAGGTAGATTTCCTCAACTCTGTCATTGTGGATCTACAGAAGAAGAATTCTGATTTGAAGATCCGTCTTGAGGCCATGGAAGTTGGTGTCGTAACCAATGGAAACAGCAATGACTCTATGGAAGTGTGAGTTATTGACCTTTGTCTCGTCATGATTGTTATCGTTGAATTTTTTAGGTTACAGAAACCTCAGGATAAAGGAATAATTGACTTTGATTTGGTATGCTCTTTTGAACTTTTCCCGTCAGTCTTCTATGATGGCTGTTAGAGCGATTTGAAAAAGTCTAGAAAATTTCCACCAAGAACACAAGCAAATAAAGAGGCATAATCTATATATAGGAAGTTAAATTGGGTGGTCAAGTTGTATAGCAGTAATGCATTTGTGTTTTACTTAAATGTCAGGTTAAAATTCCAATGCGGACATGAGAAAGTATGGGGTTTGCCTGCCCGAACACTTGGTTTTTCCATACATAGTGGGGTTGCATCCGACAGTAAGGCCCCTTGCATGCTTCCAATTGGGCCAAGAAGAGTGATTGTTATAAGCTGATAGCTTGTTTGGCAGCTGTTTTAAAACAAATAAAGTTTATATGTATTTATATAAAGTTAGTTTTCCAATTGTTTTGGGACATTTTAGAAAAGTAGACATCTTTTTCCCAGGAATTAAGTACTAGGTAGATTTATCAATGTTGTTATATATGTATCATTTCAATTAACAGGACTCCTAAAGCAAAGGCGCCCCCACGTCTCTTCTGTGATATTTGTGATGTGTTTGATGAACATGACACGGACGACTGCCCACTTCAAGCCATGGACTATGAGGAACCAGCACCCTCCCAACACCATGGTGACCGCAAGCATATGCGATCCTACTGTGATATCTGTGAAGGTAAATACAACTTATGACTAGCTATATTACAGGGTAGGGTCAGTAATAGGAAAAAGTAGAAACGTTGTTATTTAGTATTCTGAGGTAACTTTGTATCGTGTCCATACTTTAAATTTGAATCTATAAGATTTCCATATTTTTGAAACCCCAAGTGAAGTACAGGATGGTTTCCCATTATCCTGAATTTATCATTTCCATTAATTTCAAAAGCCGTAACATAGTTTGCTCCAAAGGAAAGGTATGTTATGGTATCCATTATGTGATATGACTATGAGCTACACCATAGGTAAAAAGCTATGTGTTTTTTAAGCCAGGGAGCTTAACAACAAAAGCAACAGATAAATAGTGACAGAGGCGACAAATGATTACATCTTGATGAAAGATATACTGCTCAGTGCAGTGTTTGAAGTAAGAAGGAACCTAAAGCCTTACTTCAAACTACTGTGACACAAACCTCGATTTCATCTGTGAAAAACACTCGGCACAAGATAGTAAACTCTGTGTATAGTCTGAATAAAGGATAAATATTTCTATTTTTTTTTTTTTTTTTTTACAAAATTCAGTGAAATAATAATACCACAGTATCCACCATTTACATAATCACATAACATCCCTCAGGTTCTCCACAATAAGTGTTGTGTAGTAAGGATGTGAATGCAACACTAAACAGACATTATTATGTATTACTTTGAGGATGTATCTGTCAAGTTAGTCTCCGTGATGACAGGCATGTTGTTGGGTGTGATTCTGGGGTTAGTGATTATGCATGGTGTGCCACTGCATCCAATACTTACTATGTCATCACCATATCATTTCTCATTCCTCTCATAGTCCAACCGATATACTCAAGTATCATTTCTCATTCCTGTCATAGTCCAACCGATATACTGAAGTGTATTGACTCTAGTCACAACTATAGCTTTTTAGATTCTGTCTTTATTTCTGTCTTTTTCTGAAAGATGTTTTCCTTCTCATAATACTTCAAAGTTAAAAAGTCAAGACTTTTCCCACTCAAAGCTGTAGAAATTGACCATCTTAAAATGTTGACAAATACTGTTTGAACAGTTAATTATGTAGAGTTTGATTTAATATCATTGAAGATGCTTTTATACAAAAACTAGCAGATATAGCTTATATGATTATGAGATACCAGAATGAGGAAGGCCTATTTATGCTAGAACTGATGATTTGATCCACAGAGTAGGTCCTTCATTGCCATTTTGTGCAGTCTGTTGAGTTTGCATCACTTCTCATGTCTGTTATCATCTTTCTCATCTGTGTATAAACAAATATAAACAGATATATTCTATTATATCATGATTATAGATATATTCTGGAAGCATTTATGATATATTAACCAATGATAATAATTAAAAGGATTTTTCTTACTTCTATTTAGTATGAAGGTTCAGTAACATGTGATATATTTGTAGTGATAAGATATGTTGATATCATAGGCTGGTTTTTTTATACGGAGATTGAGAAATTTTGGATTTTAGAAAATGATGGCTGAGTTATAAAAAAATGATCCTGGAAAAATCATAAAATGAATTGGTTACATGTGATTGATGCTGGGGTTAGATGTGTCATTGTTCATTATCACATACACTGACAGCATGGGTTTGTTATAGAATTACTATACATGGAAACTAATAGACATTGCTAATATCAGTGATTTTACATGAAAATTAAGTTTTTCTACATGAAAACCCATAACTTCAGTTTGAATGATTTCAAAAGTCTGTATTCCTGAGAAAACATGAACAAAATGACAATTCATAGTATTAAATAGAAAGTTGTAGGCCTTAAAGAATTATGACCACTGCACTTCAACAAATTCTAGTTCATCCTAGCAATCATTCATAATTATTTGGATTTAGTCCACAAAATTATAAGATGTTATTTCTTGATAATTGTTTACAAGATCTTTATATCATCATCAACATTTCCATGAGGATCAGAGTAAAACCTGTACCTTAAAAGTTTGAATTAATTTACACCAGATGGCAGCATGTTAGGTTTGTTTAGATAGAAATCACTGATATTGGTCATGTTGTACCAGAGATTCCAAATGGAATGTGTACTTTAGCTTGGTATTTATGCATATCCTTTACTACTTTTTGCCTTGCAGTGTTTGGCCATTGGACAGAAGATTGTGATGACGAACAGACATTCTAATCCAATCAGATGGTTTGTTACAGCATGAGTAATATTTTAATCCAACCAGATGGTTTGTTACAGAACCAGTCCGATTCCAATCCAATCAGATGGTTTTGTTACAGAACAAGTTTGAAGTTCTAATGCAGCTATTCTCGTTTTCAACCTGCAAATTTAGGCCTTGCTCAGAATTACGAACAATGCGGAGGACATTCAGATTAAATTGGATTCCCTGAGTTACTTCTGAACCGTGCCACCTAGTCAGTCTGTGTGAGATCTTGGGTCTGTGTGTAACAATGCATCAGACTACTTGTAGGAAGTGCTGAAAACCAAAAGAAAACAACAACTTATTATGCAATTGGCATTAATTGATTATATTAAGAGGAAAATACTTAAGCTCATATAAAAGTGTTTTAAAATGGAAACCACCCCAGAGTTCTGCTGTTGTAGAATACCAACTACAACAATCAAAGACTGTTGACTTTTTAGAGAATGGAAATGATCCATCTATTCCAGTACTGACACCTGTCTGCGTTTTGTGCTGTTTGACTTCCTAATATGAAGTTCAATTTCACTTATTTTACAAACTGACTTTTGACAACTGCTGTCATTTATTGTTGGCTTTTGTACTTATCAAAATCCAATTAACAGCATGTAGCTCTGTATTAATTATATTTTAGCAAATATGAAATGAGAAAATATTTAAATCTATTTATGTGTTGATGAAGTGCCATGATGTTGTATATGTTAACTAATTGATTGGAATAGTAAATTTGAGGCTCAATTGAAAAAAAAAACAAGCTTAGAACATTCCACTTCTGAATAATGCTTGGACAGATCTCTTTCTCTTTCTAGAACAACTTACCTACTCTTTTTTTCCATTTCTTGTCCCAAAATTGATAACTCTATTTACAGAATTTGAATGGATATACCTTATACACAATGTCCTTGTTGTAACTTTTTTCACAGAATTAAACAGGTTGTGAAGATATTTTTTCATTAGAAATATTTTATGCTAAGCTATTTGTACATTAAATTCAATACTGATTACGATTTTGATGCTAGTATACTTGCTTGAATAAATCTCTAGAATTATGCGATATTTGTTTCGGTGCTAGAATCAACATCTACCCATTCATAAGATTTTAATTTTAAGCTGTAGTAATTCTATGAAATTTTGGGATTTTCCTGTGACATATTCACATTTTAGATGGAAGTTGTCCTTTAGAAATTTTCTTCTGAAATGAATATTTAAGAGAAAACCTAAACATAAGAAATGTTCATTTCCAAGCATCTCTGAGTGAGAGAATATAATCCAGGTCTTTCACTGTAAAAAAGCATCAAACTGATGTCATCACTAAGTATATTTGACTTTAATGATATGAAATTTGAAATCTTACAAAGTAAATTGAATTCCTGCATCAGAGTTTTTCTTGTGATGTAAATCTGTCATCACTATCTGAGTTATTTCCCTTGCATTATACATTTCTAGGTTTAAGTTAATATTTGAAAACACAAGTGTCTTTATGCGAAGACTTACAGTATTATGATTTTTATGGCTGATTGTATAAAAGCTTTATTTAATCACTTTATCTTTTGTAATTAGCGGCAAAATGCATTCCTTAGAAATACGACAAAAATTGGAAATCACAGTTCTATAAAACAGATGTGATTAAAGCAGACAATATCAATTTGATTGATTTAATCCAAAGTTATTGTTACTTTTATGAGGTGAAAGATATCCAATGTAACTGATTTAATTGTGCATTTAAGAAACTATTTCACAACACCCACATCTCTCAAAAATGTTTTAGTGATGTATCTCTTTGAAATTATATTTTGATATCCAATGGTTTTGGGACCAGAAGATATGAAATATTGTCACTCGTTAAAAGAAAGATACAAATGTGCATTTGTCTTTGAAGTCCTTTTTCATATCATCCTTATTGTCATTGCATGGACTAGAATCTCTGATCATCAGAAGAGACCAGTTCTATTCAGAAGCTGACAATTTAGACAGTGAGTGGATGATGTGTATTACTGCTTCTTTTGTGTGTTACCTGGTTACCAAACCAACAATGATAACTGCGTTAAATAGATAATTTGGACCAAGTTGAATAGTTCATTGTCCTTATCCAATCAAAAAAATGGTATCAACTTTTGAATTGTTGAATTTTAACAGTGAAGTGTAGTTGATGATAGGAGAATTTTGATGAGATCTATTTTTTGCATGTCTTCAGTATGTTCTTGAGAATGTTTTATATGATTATGTTTGTAAGATAACTTGGAGCTTTTCATTTCTTAATATTAAGACCATACAATTTTAACCTTTAGTTTGTAATATGCCCGTAGACATGATACTTGAATTATCTTGGCAAACTTTTGCTAACATGTGTATTATCTGTGATTTCTATTGTTGTATTACATTGTTGGAGATTGATTCTTAGAAAGGAAATCATGACAAAATCAATTATTGTCTAATGTGCTGAATTCAATTAAAGTTTGAAGATGAGGAAATTCAAAAATATCATGTCAAAAATAGAATAATATATTGTCCTTTTCATTGGTAAAGATAAATACCATTTAAGAATGAAAGGGTCTTTGTTAAAAGGATTGCATGTGCCAATATCCCTGTGTACTTTGAGAGCATTACGATATGCTAATCTAGCTTTATGTTGGTCGTCATATAATCTTGCTTAAATAGCACTAAGTTTTCAGCATGTTGTTTAATCAATCTACAAACACTAACTCTCTTGTCCACTTAACTCACAACTCCTGAATACAAACCCCCAGTTGATATAAGATTACGATGAATAATCGTGGTTATTATGGATTTTGTAAAT